TTCAGTTACTACTCAGTGAATCCCTTGTAGGGGATCCATTCACTGATTGGGTTAAGACTTCCAAAACCCAAACATTTCTCCTCTGAACCTTCTTGCACTGTCCCACACATGAGGTTTTGGGAGACACCTCACATCCAAACAATAATGCAGACTTTGTAAATTGTATCAACTATTCTCCTTCAAACATTGCTGTCATCCTAATTCTTGGTAATTTCAACATATGCATAGATGATCTTTCCAGTACTCTTTCAACTTACTTCAACCTCTCTGGGGATCTCATTCACTAACTCACTACTCCTGTGATTTTTAAGCACAGGCTAAGTCATTAAGCCATCCTAGAGAGCCTGATGCTATTCTGCTCCCTGAATAACAAAAGTCAGAGGCAACTTTCATATAGTAGGTCAGAGAAGTAACCTATCTACAGAGCCAGAGGGCAGGTTCCACCCAGAAATATGAAGGTGACAGAGTTGTTTTTTTTTTTTTTTTGACACCTAGCCATGGTTCATTTCTCTGCATTTCCGGTTCATTTCTCTGTATTTCCTCTTTTTTTGTCCAGATTATTTCTTTAATCTTTAATATTTAATCAATATCTAATATAGAAAAATAATACCAGACTCATTCCCTTTAGTTTAAAATTAAATTTGGAATAAAAAACTTTATTTAAAAAATATTTAGGGTATTAATAGGTATATGAATGAATCCTTTTCATGAGGAATTTGAGGAAATGGTTTTCTCCTCTGTCTATAATATGACCGGACTGGCTTGGGCCTGCTAAATCCACCTCGAATATACAGATGGGCACTTTTTTCCCTTTTTATCCATTAGCTTGTTATAATCTCTTGGAATATGACAATCATCTGTAATTGAATATGAAACCATTTGTCACTCAAATTTTAACACTATACGTTTAAAGGTTATATTCAATTTTTCTTTTATTTATTAATCCATTTGATCAATATAGAGTGAGGATCTATAACATTCAAGGCCCTTGGCTAGGTGTTTGACCAAAGATGAGAAATAAACAGTCTCTGACTAGTTATCTTATTGTCACAGGAAAGTAATGATTATAATCAAGTATTCTACAGAGGAAAAATTTCAGTGAGAAGTGTCAGGAATAATGCATTATTTGTAACTGGAGTTTTGCTATTCAAAATACTTAAAAGACCAATAAGAGAATGCTAATTAAAAATGTATTACTATAGTATTTCTCTCAAGAAGCTTTTCACAAAATGCATCTAAGAGATAAGCAAGAGAATTGGAAGAAAAAAATGGAGGTCAGTAAATTTGAAACATAGAATTTAAGAACTAAACAGCACATCAGAATTTGACTAGTCAAGTGTTTTGGTTTCACTCCATCAAATGTAGAAAGTTGGAAAGAGCATTGCTCCAGTCTTTAACTTAGAAAAAAATCCAGAAAATTATAAATTATCAACTTTTCTTGAAATCATATGAGTAGCAAGAATTAGCAACTAACCTGCACTTTGGGGAGAGATAATACCTGCAGAGAGAAAGAGGGTCATGTAACCACCAGAGATAATTTGACTTCCTTCCATGTTTTTATTCCTTTAATTTTTTTTTTCTTGCCTGATTTCTGTGCCTCGAGTTTCAATTACATTCAATAAGAGAGTGAGAATGAATGTCCTTGTCTTTTTCCAGATTTTAGGGAAAATGTTTTCAGTTTTTTTTCCATTCATTATGATGTTGGCTTTGGGTTTGTCATATACAGCATGTATGATATTGAGGTAAGTTCCTTCTATCCCTAGCTTCTTCAGTGTTTTTAGCATGAATGGGTACTATATTTTTTGATGACCTTTTTGTTTGCATGTATTGAGATGATAATGTGATTTTTGTCCTTACTTCTATTTATGTGAAAAATTATATTTATTGATTTTGCATATGTTAGACCAACCTTGCATCCCTGAGATAAAAGCAACAACTTTCTGGTGTACAATCTTCTTAATGTGCTTTTGAATGTAGATTGCTAATATTTTATGGAGTATTTTTGCATCCATGTTCATCAGGGATATTGATTCATTAGGATTTTCTTTCCTTGATGTATCTTTATCCAGGTTTGGTTTCAGGGTGGTACTGGCATCATAGAATGAATTTGGGAGTATTCTCTTTCTTTCTATTTCATGAAATAATTTGAAGAGGACTGACATTAATTCTTCTTTAAAGGTTTGGTAGAACCCAGCTGAGAATCCATCTGGTCACTGGCTTTTCTTTGTTGGGAGGCTTTTTATTACTGCTTTAGTCTTGTTGCTTGACATTGGTCCATTTGGGTGTTCTATATTGTCCTGGTTCAATTTGTGCAGGTCATATGTATCTAGAAATTTGGCAATAAATATTTTAGATTTTCCAATTTATGGAATATAACTTTCAAAATAGTTCCCAATGAACTTCTGGATCTCAGAAATGTCTAGGGTGACATCACTGTTTTCATCTCTAATTTTGTAGATTTGGGACTGTCCTTTCTTTCATCTCTGATCTTATTTCCTATCTTTCAAATGATCAAAACAGACATTTCTAAAAAGAAGAAATACAAATGACCAATGAATATATGAAAAAAAATCAACATCCTTAGTAATTAGGAAAATGCAAATCAAAACTCTACTGAAATTTCATCCCACTCCAGTTAGAATGGCAGCCAGCAAGAATACAAATAACAATTGTTGGTAAGAATCAGGTAAAAAGGTAAACTTGTATATCGTTAGTGGGACTGCAAATTAGTACAACCACATTAGAAAGTAGAATGGAGATTCCTCAAAAAGACTAGGAATGGAATCTCCATATTACCCAGCCATTCCACTCCTTTGTATTTATCCAAAAGAACTAAAATCAACAAACTATATTGATACATGAATAACAATGTGTATGGCAGCACAATTCAAATTATGAAGCCAATCTAGGTATCTGTCAGCAGATAAATGGATAAAAAAAAATGTGTGCATTAATTAAAAAGGTCATAATAGAAGGGAGATCAGTAGAATAAGTATATCAGAGGGCAAGAGGAGGGGAGGGAAAGGGATATGATTAAGCAAATTATGTTATATGTATGTAAAACTATGACATTGAATCTCACTGTTAGGTATAATAATAATGCACCAATAAAATATAATTTTAAAAGATTCAATAAAGAACAATGGAAAATGTGTTTATAAATATGGATAATTTTACTCTGCAAGAGACACTGTTAAGTGAATAACCGTCAACCCCAGAAATCCCACTCCTAGATATTTACCCAAGGAAATTAAAAACTATGTTCTCACAAAAAACTGTATGCAATTCTTTTTATAGCAGAATCATTTATAATTGCCACAAACTATAAAAGTTCAAATATCTTTCAACAGGGGGGACACAAAGAGGAAATATTTTCAAATCACATATCTGACACAAGACTTGTATATAAAATATTTAGAGAATAATCAAAATGCAGTGATAAGAAAACACAACTAAATTTAAACATTTGAACAAACACTTCACCAAAGAAGACATATGGATAACAAATAAGCACATGAAGATGTTATTGGCATTATTAGTCACTAAGGAAATATAAATTAAAACAATAAGATATTACTCCACAGTAGAATGGCTAAAATAAAAATAATAATTGACAAAAGCACCCAATCTATAAAGGCTACGTATCATATGATTCCAAAAGCACCCAATCTAAAAAGGCTATCATATCATAATCTGGAGAAGGTGAAACTCTGGAAAATGTTGAAAATATCAGTGGTTTCCAGGGAATTGGAAGAGAGAAGATAAATAGGTAGAGCACAAAGGATTTTTAGGGCAGTGAAAATACTTGTTTGAAACTATAATGATGTATGTCATTACATGTTTGTCCAAACCTTTTGTCCAAACCCTATAGAATATTTAGCACCAAGAGAGAACCCTAATGTAAACTATGGACTCTCAGTGGTAATCATGAACTAAGGCAGGTTCATCAACTGTAGGAAATGCACCTCTCTGGTGAAGGATTTTCACAATGGGGAGGTTCATTTTCTGTGGGGGAAAAAGAGGCTGTGGGAAATATATGTACATTCTCCACAATCTTGCAGTAAACTTAAAAGTGCTATAAAATTAATCTTTTAGAAATAGACGACAATACCAAGTTCCATGAGGGAGGTAGAGAAACTGGATTACTCATGTGTTGATTGTAAGAATGTAATAGGGTACAGATACTCTTTAAAATAGTTTAGCAGTCTCTTATAAAGTTAAACACCCTGTCAACCCCAGAAATCCCACTCCTAGGAATTACCCAAGGAAATTAAAAACTATGTTCTCACAAAAACCCGTATATTATTTTTTTATAGCAGAATCATTCATAATTGCCACAAACTACAACAGTTCAAATATCCTTCACAGGGGGGACATAAAAACACACTGTGGTACATCCATTCAATGGAATACTATTTAGTAAAACAAGGAACTGTTGATTCATAGAACATGGATGATTCCTTAAGTGCATTTTGTAATGTGAAATTAGCCATGCCCCAAAGGCTGTGTATTGTATAATTAAATATTTATAATATTCTAGAAAAGACAAAACTACAGAAATTAGAAGCAGATTCATTGTTGAGAGAAGAGGAAGGATAGAGTATAAAGTTGGGACATAAGGGAAATGTAAAGGTCATGGACCTATTCCATATGGGACCATGGTGGGTACATGACAACATTATCAAAATGCATAGATATGAATACCACAAAGTGAAAATTTGACTGTGCACACCCAAATACATTTGCATAGATCTCTTAGCTGTGTCCACTCAGCAGGTCTAAAAGTAAGATACTTAGGAACAATGAGCCCACCAACCACTGAATTATTGATTTCTAAGTGCCAGCATCGAATAAAGGAACCAGACTTCCTTGGAGAAATATCTGGTTCTAGGTCTGGGGCAGAAAAAATGCAGAATGAATCTGAAAGTTTTCTTCCAGAAAGGAAAGGGAAATGAGGTCATGGCAACCTCAAAGAATTCCCGGTGGCACAAACTGGAACAATCTGATAAATCAAATAAATAATGCATTGAAATGATACAGAGAAGATTAGCATGGCTCCTGCACAAGAATGACATGCAAATTTATGAAGAGTTCCATATTATTAGGACTAAAAACAGCATACTACAGGGACACAGCCACATCAATGTTTATAGCAGCACAATTCACAATAGCTAAACTGTGGAACCAACCTAGATGCCCTTCAGTAGATGAATGGAAAAAGAAAATGTGGCATATATACACAATGGAATATTACTCAGCAATAAAAGAGAATAAAATCATGGCATTTGCAGGTAAATGGACGGAGTTAGAGAAGATAATGCTAAGTGAAGTTAGCCAATCCCAAAAAACCAAGTGCTGAATGTTTTCTCTGATATAAGGAGGCTGATTCGTAGTGGGGTAGGGAGAGAGAGCATGGGAGAAATAGACAAATTCTAAATAGGGGTGGGAGGGGAAGGGAGGAGGCACAGGACAAAAAATGATGGTGGAATGTGATGATCATTCTTATCCAAAATAGATGTATGAAGACACAAATTGGTGTAACTAAACTTTGTATACAACCAGAGTTATGAAAAACTGTGCTGTATATGTGTAATAAGAATTGTAATGCATTCCACTGTCATACATAAACAAAAAATATTAATTAAAATTTAAAAAAAATAAATAATGACAATATTGGATTATAACTCTTTAAACAAGACATATATCTATGAGTCCACGTTGACATAAATTGAATGATTGAATAAATACAGAAGAAAGAAGACACAAATCATTCTTGCATAGGAGTTGCAACGAATAAATGTAGAAAGAATGAGAGAAATTTAAAATTACCATTAAAACACCAAACTAATAATTCCTTTAGTCAGAGTCACTGTTGAAAGCTAAAATTGAAGATAAGCAGCATATTTGCATAGCCTCAAAATACCTTTTCCAAGATATTTATTTGTAGTGGCTTTAACATTTGTCCAAGAATTCTTCCACACTCTTTCCTCTAAGAGGTCATGCTTAATTCCCCTCCCCTTGATGAACAAAGTCCAAATAGTAAAAAAACAATAACTTTACAGTGAAGAAAACTGGCAATCTGCTCATTAACCAAGCAATAAAGGTTAGCTTGACCAGCAGTGACATTTTGATGTCATCTACCCCTGATAAAGTGGAAATTGGTGATGAGAAGCACACCAAGTGTCTGTGTTCTTCTGCAAAACAACGGTTCAATCACAACAGATCATAGGAATCCAAATTGAGGAACTTTATAGATCATGAAATGTAAAAAAAAAGAAAAAGAAAGAAAAAGAAAAAGAAAAAAAAAGAAACTCTCACAAAATGGGGGCGAATAAGGAGACACAATAACTAAACATAATATGTGATCCTGAGTTGGATCCTGGAAAAGAAATAGGGTAACAGTGGAAGGAGAGGGGAAATTCAAATAAAGTCTGTGGTTTAGATTTTATACCATGTTACTTTCTAGTTTTGATCAATGTACTTTACCTATGTGAAATGTTAACAGAGGAACACTCTATACCATCTGTTATGATTTAGATGTGGTGTCCCCTGAAAGCTCACATGTGAGACAATGCAAGAAGATTTGGAGGAGAAATGATTGGGTTATAGCCTTAGCCCAAACTGAAGTCGTAGGATGTGGCTGGAGGAGGTAGGAATTGGGGCGTGGCCTCCCTCCCCCTCCCCCTCTCCCTCTCCCTCCCCCTCCCTCTTCTTCTCCATCACCATGATGTGAGCTGGTTTGCTCCACCACCCTCTCCCTCCATGATATCCTGCCTCACCTCCAGCCCCAAGGAATGGAGCTGGCCTTCTCTGGACTAAGACCTCTGAAACCTCAAGCCCTCAAATAAACTCTTCCTCCTCTACAGTTATGCTGGTCTGATTCTTTAGTCAAAGCAGCGAAAAACTGACTAGAACACCATCTTTGCAACTCTTGTAAATCTAGACTTACATAATAAAGGTTTTAACATTCAATTATTCCATTCCCACTTATCACTTAGGTGACTTTTGGGAAACAGACATCAGGTTTTCTAGTTAAGACATAAAACTGCATTTTCCAGATGGACATTTTGCAGAGGGACTAAGGCAACACCCTGCATCCCATTGACCAGTTTTCTCCTCTCTCTACCTCCACATCATCGTTGAGATTGGCAGTCAAAGGATAGGCAGGGTTGGTGCCATTGCTCAAGTTTTCCATGCAAACAATTTTCTCCTCATCCTGTTTTCCTTAAAACTTTGACCTAATTACTTTCACATGCTGAGCTAATTCTCATGACTGATTAAAAGCAGCTAAAAACATCAGTAAAATCTGTTAAAGTGCAAAAATGAAGACCCCATTCATTCGAGCTCTTGAGTCATCATTTCTCTAAATGCATGACACAAATATATTCTTTTCTCTCTTATATTGATAATTTTACATTAAAACATCAATAGGGAGCAGCATCTGGGCTGCTTGCTCAACCACAGTAGCTGGATTCATTTTTTCCTCTTTATTAAAAAGGTGCTTAGTTCACATTATGGATTTTCGATTAGCAATAATCATAAAGAACAGTGTCTGGTGTTCAGAAAACTTAACTGGCTGCTTTCAAAGCAAATCTTTAAGTCCAAAGATCAAGTTGTTTCTGATACTTAACAAAGGCACATATTTATTCCTCTAGACAGTTAGTGCTTTTGAGGGTTTATTTTTCATTAATCTTCACTCTTGGCACTTCTCACTTGGGAATGTCTATTCCTAAAGAAGCAGCACCCAGCAGAGCCAGAGAAACAGGAGGCTGGGAGCCCAACCCAGGCTAACCGTTGTGTATGCACCCCTATTTCCTTCTTGTTTTTCCAGTAGTAATTGTATTCATCCTCTTTCTAACCAGCAGAGAAGCAGTTGGACAGATACTTGGGCAGAAGGGTTCAAGCAAAAAACAGGAAAACATTTTAAATTTTTTATTCTCAAACAGAAACCCTCACAAAAAAGACTCCCAAGGACAGTTTAAAATGACTAATTTGAAAATCAAATAAATTAGGTTTTGCAAAGAGCAAAGAAGGCAAGCCGGTTGCCGAAGGCCTCCCCTTTGTAGTGGTATTTCTCTGCATGGGATTCATCTTGATTTCAGTGACATAATACTTTCTAGCATTGTCTTCCACTCACTCTCAGGCAAAATCGATCATTCACTCACAATTTAGTATAAGTTGAAATGAACATGTCATTGCCCCAGGAATTGCCTCTATTTTGAACATTAGTCCTCACTGAGGAAAAGCAGTTGTTTCCAAGATTAAAAGGTTAGTTGTTGATGATCCTAAGAAAGAAATGGATTGAAACTAGACAGAAAGAAACCTTCATGCATCTCAAAAATGTATTTTCCCGAGTTAAGGTCGAACACATGACAAGACTCCAAGGTGTTTTTGTGACTCGTTGTAGTTTCAGGCTAAAGTATCAGGACACATATTATTTTTCTCTCTTTCATTATTCACCTTGTTGTACCTTTAATCTTGGTTCAGTTTGATAAATGGAGATTTTTCCAGAGGGTTAAAGAGGAATGAGTTGAATTTCACCCATATTCAGGGCCAATGCTGAGGACCTTCCTGGTTTTCATGCACCATACGGTTTGGCACAACTCCCCCCACCAAAAACACCCCTTAGCTCGTGTGCCATCCATCATTTTGCTTGTTGACTTAGTTTCATTTTCTGTTTTTCTGGCCTGCTCAACTGCCTGCAACAGCACTAAATTATTCTTCTGATCTTTCCATTTCCCTGGGTTCAAAAACTGCAATTTGTAGAAGTCTTTTAACATAAAGGACTTTCTGATAAAGGTAGATGCCAATAAAATGATAAAGGTCAAAGGAAAACTGTACACTTTAAGGAAGAGGCACCCTTCATGGAAATACCATATTTTCATTATGTTTTATGTCCTTGAGAAATATTGCAACTGCGGAGAAGTCAATATAGAGACTTAGAAATGAAAGGAACATTAGAGATTATCCAGCCTGACCTCAGTCATGGCTGTGGACAAGGAAGCTTTGAAAGGGTAAGACATAGTGTTCCTCAGGGGCAGAATTAGAACTTCAAACAGGCACTGCAATCAGTTCTCTGTTGAGTCCTCCACACTGTGCTGACACTTTTAATTATATATTCTTTTTTAAAAAATTTATTCATTTTAATTAGGTATATATGATAGCAGAATGCATTTTGATCCATTATACACAATTGCAGCACAACTTTTCATTTCTCTAGTTGTACACAATGTAGCATCCCACCATATGTGCAATCATATAGGTACCTAGGGTAATGATGTCCATCTCATTCCACCATCCTTCCTGTCCCCATACATCTCCCCTGCCCTCCCCTTTTCTCATTCAAAGTTCCTCCATTTTCCCCATGCTCCCTGCCCCATTATGAATCAGCATGCACTTATCAGACGGAACATTCAGTCTTTGGTTTTGTAGGATTGGCCTACTTCACTTAGCATTTTCTCCAACTCCACCCACTTACCTGTAACTGCCATAATTTTATTCTCTTTTAATGCTGAGTGATATTCCACTGTGTATATATACCACAGTTTCTTTATCCATTCATCTGTTGAAGGGCATCTAGGTTGGTTCCACAGTTTAGACATTGTGATTTGAGCTGCTATAAACATTGATGTGGCTGTGCCCCTGTAGTATATACTTAATGATGAAAAAACATATAGAAAGGGAGTACCTACCTAGTCAGGAATAAATGGAATGTGCTCTCATTCCTTTTTTTTTAAAAGAGAGAGAATTTTTTTTAATATTTATTTTTTGTTTTTTGGCAGACACAACATCTTTATTTGTACATGGTCCTGAGGATCGAACCCAGGGCCGTGCGCATGCCAGGTGAGCGCGTTACCGCTTGAGCCACATCCCTAGCCCCTCTCATTTCCGTTTTAAACTAAGGTCTTGGCTTAGAGTAATTTGCCTAGTCATGGAGTGACCATCTGATGGTGAAACCTAAGCCATGGTCAGGGTGGAAGAAGCCTACTGTTTTTCCCTCTCCCTACCTGGATCCCCATAGTCCTGGGTCCTGGCTTTGCTGGCTTTGTAGTATCCTTGATGCTGTCCCCTTCATCCCAGTCATAATGCCACACTTGTAGCTT